AACAACGCTCCTGATGCAGCACGTTCTTGTGCTCATACCAGCCAAAAAGTGCTGACGGCACAATCTTGACAAGGCCACTGCCACAATTCTCCGGGCTGTGTTTTCTGCACATAATATTTACTTGCAACAAGACCTAATCCCAAGAAATACAGTATTGGTCTTGCGGTTGACAGATTGAATGTCATGAATCTGCAACAATTTGCCTTCCCGTACCTCTGATGGCATACCAGAAACCCAGACACAATCTCCGTCATGCGGCGATGGGAAAAGCAGGAAACAAACCATCTGCCGCTTGTTTTGAGTGGGCAGCCTGGAAAAAAGGGGGGGAATGATCACAACGTGCTACTCAGATTTTTGATAGATATTTGAGTGGGCCAACTGGAAGAAAGCGGGGGGGGGGGGGGGGTTTCGGGCTCGCAGTTTGTGCCACCCAGACCCACCAGAAGTCCCCGAAGCTTTTGTTGTTTGCCACTAAACTAATGAGCTTAACACGTTTTGGTCCAGAAAGTTTTGAGAGAACAGAACCCACGGCTTGAATTCCGTCTCCAATGGATCCCCTTGTACCAAAATGACCAACCGAACCTGTGGACGGGATATGGGTCTCTGTTTTAAAGTTGGACCCCTAAATTGGTGGTTGTCCTTTTAGCTTTCCTTCAGCACCACCAAGAAAGGGGTACCTTTCAAAAAACAAACACATCCCTATGTGCTTAATCTGGTTTGCCAACCTCTTGCTAGGCTCTTGGACGTTTCCAGTCACGAAATGGCCCCGCCTCTGGAAAGGCTTGGGGCCCGATGCGCCGAGGTTGGACAGGAGCGGGTGTCGCTGCCACCTGTTCAGCATGAAATCTATTTAGGGACCCTTTGGTTAGGTGGGGATGCATGTCCACCAACCACTTTGGGGTGGTTTCTTGTTAAATTCACAGCCTGTTCAAAGCTGGGTGATAGTTTGATCCCTCCGTAAAATGGCCCAGTGACTTGTTGGGCTCATTTGCTTGGCGGTGGGAATTAAAGATGACCATACTTTCAAACAACTCACTCAACCGAAGAAAACAAAGCAGAACAAGAGAACAAGAGAACAAGCAAGCAAGCAAGCAAGCAAGCAAGCAAGCAAGCAAGCAAGCAAGCAAGCAAGCAAGCAAGCAAGCAAGCAAGCAAGCAAGCAAGCAAGCAAGCAAGCAAGCAAGCAAGCAAGCAAGCAAGCAAGCAAGCAAGCAAGCAAGCAAGCAAGCAAGCAAGCAAGCAAGCAAGCAAGCAAGCAAGCAAGCAAGCAAGCAAGCAAGCAAGCAAGCAAGCAAGCAAGCAAGCAAGCAAGCAAGCAAGCAAGCAAGCAAGCAAACACGCAAACCCACGCTGCTCCAACATACACAACCTTATCTTGTCATCATGACTTGGCTTGGTTTTAACGTTCCCAATACCCTATTCTAAACCATTTGGCCTTTATACCGCATCGCCTGAACCCGCTCATGGTTGTTTTAACCTGGTAGGTGCTGTCGGCGCATGCAGTCCATTGACCTCAGGACTAACCAAAACATGCGGCTGTGAACATGCGAATAGAGTTCACGGGTTTCAGGCCAGGGACCAGTGGGCAAACCCCCAACCAATTTAGCGTATCTCCAATTTCTTCAAACCTGATTCTTTGCCGCATAGGAGATTCCATGCAGGGCGGCCCCTAGGTGTCCCCTCAGGTAGCTTGCTAAGCCTTCTTGTCAGAAACTACTAAGTTCGCCTTGCCACTTGGCGGTTAGAGAAACCCTGATGGCAAAATCAGAGATTGGTCATTTGGGAGTGCAGTGAGTTTTCTACCCAAGCCAGTTGAGCAGCGCGGAAAGCTTGTTGGCTGTTGCTTCTAACTTGGCGAAGGCTTGTGGCGTTGCCTTAAACTCCAGTAAACCACGTATTGCAACCAGCTGTTAAAATCGCACACTGGGTTTTGGGTGCTTCATTTTGTGCAGCAAAGAGGTTCTGCTCCGAGCGTGTGTTAGTTGAGCTCTTTGCATGACAATGAGGCGTTGAGAGACATTCAGGATGGGACCCATTGCACATTCCTAGTGGGGGGGCATATGCAAAACCAGTTCCTCGACCTGCCCATTCCATAATTCTCTCATATGCAAAACCAGTGTTCCTTGTGTTTCTTGTTAGCTCAGAGCCTTGGAACCTTGGAAGCTTGAAAGGACAAGTCCGACAGTTCAGCGTGCCCGAGAAACGCCGCTCGTGACGCTTTCCCCTCACCTCTACGGGGGAAGGAGACCTGGATCGCCCCCATCCCTGGCCAACGCCTCCGATCCACCCTACCCGTCCGCACAGTTCCGCCTCCTCGCGCTTCGGCTCAATCTCCCTTTTCTCTTCCTTCTCCTTTTTCTCCTCTGGCTGCTAATAGGGAGTCTGAAAAAACAACTTTCTCCTTTTGGCTTCCTGTTGGCACAATCAACATCCATGGGCGAATTCACACGCCCAGTCCTTCTTCTCCTTCTTCTCCTTCTTCTCCTTCTCCTCCTTCTCCTTCTCCTCCTTCTTCTCCTTCTCTTCCTTCTCCTTCTTTTCCTTCTTTTCCTGAAGCCGAGTGGACGCATGTTTTTGCATGAGAGGGGAGCAGCAGTACTGAGCACACACCTTGGCCCAGCTCTGAGGTACACTAAACATATGGTGGTTGTGATGTGGTTTCACATTCAACTCAACCTCAACATGGCTGCGGCTCAAAAATCGGTACCAAAATGGTACCTTGGTAAATGGAACCAAAGACTAAAACCTGCGTAACCCCAGCTGTTGAATTTTGAGCCACAGCCACATGTAATATAACATGGTGCTTCTTGAGACCTTAAAAGCGTGGTTCCTTCTCTGCCCCAAGGGTTATTGTCCTGTGAATTTGGTTTGGCCAACACTACAATATGTTCAGCAACAAACAAGGAGGAGACCCAGGCGCCTTCTTTCCTTCTTTCTCCTTGTCCTTGTGCTTTTCAGATTTCTCCTCGCTGGCAACAACTATCGGACGTGGGAAGAGGGAAATGGATCCAAGGGGAAGAGGGGACATAGGAGCCTTCGAGGGACGTCATGCCGACTTTGTCGGCAAACTTCACTCACCCGAACTATCGACCCCCGCCAAATGCCCTCGTCTGGATCTTTTCTCTTTGTTTCGCTTCAAGTGCGTTGCAATCATGTGCTGGAATACTTGTACTGGAAACTAAGTTATATCACTCCACATCAATGAAATATTTGTCCATCATGAGAACAGCGACTCATATATCTAACGACGACTTGCCACACAAAACTACCCTCACGCAGTTGACATCTGACAAAGGCCAGCCAACAAGAGGACGTCCCCTCTTTCTCAAGACAAACAAGAAGGAAAGCAAGGATGTGACAGGGTAAATGAGGATTGATCCACGCCTTTTCTTTCTTCTCCTTCTTCTCCTTCTTGTGCTTCTTCGCTCCCGAGTCTTCCTGTCCGTACCATATTCTTCGTGCAGGATTGTGTGCCCCAACATCCGGCAAAAGTACGGGTGTGTGTCACAGGGATGTGAAGCTTTTGGTTTCCCTGCAAACCGAGGTGAAAAGAGTAGCCTCTGCAAACATTCCCTATGAATGCCACCACAAGGGCCTGAGGGGAAGACAAACTGGGACCTGCGATGCTGTCCACAGCGAGCACCGGCGTGACTTGCCTGGGCCCTTACCCGACTCATTTGTCCAACTGGCGCAAGTGTTTGCTTCTTCTGCCTCCATAACCTGGAAATCCAGCGGTGAATGAGGAATTCCTTCCCTCTGATGAAGGTGAACAACTCAGGTGCCCAGCAGCCATGGGACTCATTTTTGTGACCAAGCCCTTCTAAGCTGCAGTTGCCTCAAAGAAGACGATTGTTGGTTGAGAGTAAAGGGGAACCCTTACCCAAACAAAGTTGAAAAAAAGCACTGATTTGTTGGTTGAGCTTACAAGGGAACCCTTACCAAACAAAACAACAAGCGCACCACTGGGCAACAGAGACAAACTATGCCGTTCCCCTGGAGGAAATCAGTGTTTCGCCCAAAAAGGAGGCTGAACTTCAGCGAGGTCGCTCACACGCCTGCCTTTCTATCGTGACAAGACATCCTTTCTGTCATACCAATATGGGTCCAGGAATGTCCAGGAATATCATATACGTACACACACACACAACATGTATCACTTTGAAGGGGATTCCCTTGGCACAGAATTGCCTTGGTATGAATTGAAGGAACTGGGATCTTCTTGCTATGTTTGCATGCCTTTACTAGCCTTCCGAGGATGACAACAAAAACGATGGTTGAACAGAACGAGGAATTGACAGACCACACTACCAGTATCAAAGTCAGCAAGTGGTAGGTGAAACTGAAAGATGCCGTCTGCAAATTCAACAAAGCAGTTAGAGATGAGTCACAATCAAAACCTGGTACAAAAAGGCGGCCGCAACTATTTCCGGCAGGGATTGCCCCTTGCTAACCTCCATCTACCCGGGTTTTGATTGTGGCTCAAATGCATTCCAAGTTCCCCTTTGAATCCGTTTCGCCCACAACTCAAGGCAACCGGGGACCACCCCACGCCTCGCTAGACTCCGCCTTTCTCTTCTTGCCCATGGCGCGAAGCGAGTTGTTTGCTGTGTCTCAAGCTGCAAGTGATTTGTGCCAAGGCCCCAACTAAACCGAGAAAACCACTTGGGGCAAGCAATCAGAAAGGGCTGTGGCCGTGGGCTGAAGAGTTTGGCTGAGCTTGAGTGATGGCTGCATCTTGAGCGCCATGTGTTCGGATGGCAATGATTTGAGTATAGCTTGCTGCCAAGTCAAGCTGGGTCCTGGGTTGCGTTGTATGCTAATTAGTCCCCACTCCTCTTGATGATTCCAGGTTGCGTGAGCTTCCTGTTGCACACGCCTGCGCCTGTACTGCAATGCACAACTCCAGCAATATTCACTGAACGAACACCCAATGGACCGCAGGTGCTTTGCCAAGACAAAAAATGCCCAGCGCTAGCGGCTCGCCGAAAAAACGCAGGCGCCTGACCACGCCGGTGTTGTGCACAAGCCTTTGCGGATTGGCATGCAACCCTACCTGGATGTCAGGGTTCTGTGGAATTGCCTAGCCACTTCTGTAGGCCTTCATGACCATTTTTCCAGAAGCTGAGGTTCCCGGTGATGGGCATTGCACGGTGGGAACCAACCCCTTCCCACAATCCTGTGCTGGGTGGTATATAGCCATGGTTAGAGGTCAAGCGACCCCTGTTCCACTCGTAACCATGGTAACCCACCTAAGTAGGTGAAACATTCGATGCCCGCAAATATCCACTGGGCCGCGGTTTCCATGACACAAAACCGCCGGAGGCATTTTTTGTCAGACTCTCTTCAGAATTCATCGGCTGCCATGAGCCTGGCAAAGCCCTCACTCTATACACCAGGCTTCAAGGGACAAGACGGACATCTTGTGAGATACTGCAGCCTTTGGGAGCCCGTTGACCAGTTGGTATATGTTACTTGTCTTCACAAAACGCTGGGTTTCCTGCACACAAATGATCTGGTGGGGAGCAAAACAGGGCTGGGCAGACAATCGATTGATTGAAAACGACGGTGTGCCCAGCTTGAGCCATCCCAAGTCATTCAGTACCTGCCTCCATCGCAACAAATTATGCCTCCTGGTTCGACACACAAATTGACACGTCGTGGCTTGTTTTCCTCCACAAAATTGCTTTCGAGCATTTTTTTTCGGACTTGAGCAGACATCAAGTTCGGTAGTTTCATATTCTTTCACAGGGGCGAGTTTGGGAAGAGTCATCAACAAAACGACCGCACAAATAGTGCAAAACGAGCGCACATCGGCGCAGAAAAGTGCAAACAATTGCAAACGAGCGAAAATCCCAAACATGGTACAGGGAATGGGTTCCGACGTGCGCATGATTGCTGACAACTCGAGAGATTTTTGTTGAATCGTACATTTATTCTGGAACAGGTTGTCACGAGCAGAAATATTTCGAGCAACAAATAATGTATCAATGGAGGCTGCAAGTAATATACCTCGAATTGCGTTGGAGTCTCAGTCTAGAACAAAAGACCAACCGAAGCCCGCCTGCGATATGCACCCTGTTCGTCCCACAAGTATGTGGATAGGATTGCCTGAAATCATAACAACACAAGAACCTGCTGCGTGGGGCCCTTTCCAGTCCACTTGAGCCATTAACTGGAGGTCCATATGCAAACACCTACCTGGGTCCGGGCACGTGCAAAAAATAGGGAGACCCCCCAAACAAAATAAACAAGTAAAATTAAAATGGTGGTGCTTCTCTTGGTTTCCCTTTAAAACCCAGCCCCTTCAAAGGCTTCCCTCCACAAGACACATTCCCATGCTTCTTGCCAGGCGGCGTCTCTTCCACTTCCTTCTTGGCCTTCGGGCCTCCTCCCCAAATCAGAGAGTACCTGGCTCCCAATGGACCTGTTTGATCTGCGCTAGTCCGTGGGTTGCGTGTTTTGTAAGGCTACCCTTTTCAGCTTGGTTGAAAGGGCAACCAAACAGGGCCCCCCTCTGTTGAGCAAATGATCAGCGAAGATGGTTAGCTCCAAAGCTCCAGGACCTCTTGAGAACATGGTGTACATCCGACGCCCCTGAAGGGTACTGACCAGTGGAAATCGCTTGCTCCAGCCCGCAATTGAACTTTCTCTGGGACTAAACTTGCGCCGGGTTTTCGCAGCCTTCCAAGGGCGAAAAAGCGGGAGGATGTGTCAACTCTCCAATCTTCAGGGACATTTTCAAATGCCAGGTTTTGGGTCAAAAATAGGTAGCCAAAATGGTACCCTGGTACATGGAAACATGGACTAAAACCTGCGGTCCATATCCTGGTGGTTTAATTTTGACCCATACCCAGGTGTCCCCGACCCAGGAGGAGATCGGGAATGGCGAGGCTGGACATCGAGGATCGGCGCACCATCTGCCGTAGAAGATGTGACCTCGACTTGCATGATTCAATAGGGACTGCTCTACCTGGGACATCTCATCTATGCCGGGCCAAGAATCTGTCTGAGCAGCATGTTTAAGCTGTTGCCACTGAAACATCCAGATTTCGTCTCCCTCTTCAAGGCTTCCGCATCTGTTTGGAAACTTTAAATTGCCGAACACTGTCTGAGACATCTGCCAGAAAGCAAGTGGCACGAATCTCCAAATCACTCGTCTGTGGCACCAAAGCGGCCGATTTCCATCCATGACTATCGCTTCAAGGTTCCAATTCTGCACCGCTCGGAAGTAGCAACCTACCTCCCCAATCAGCTGATTTCAAGCGCCATAGGGGCGACTGTTTAACCAGTCTTTTTGCGCCCAACATGGGTGAGTAGGCCGACCACAACACACTTCCTGAGTTGATCTTCCAACAAAAAATAGCCCAGGAACTTGCAGAGTGCGAGCTTTACCAACATTTCAACTACTTCAGCCTGGCCTTCTGGAAACGTGTTAGTCCAGGAACTCGGGGAGCCAAGCAACGGTCAAGTCAGATTCCGTCGGATCTCTTCAGCGCAAATGGCGTCTGAGGCCCGAGCCGATACCCTTCTTGTGGATAGAACTGGCGGTATGTCGCCAGCCCAAATCTAGAATCCTGGCTTCAAAACTGAAGCCATCCGATCGAATCACGTGAACGATGGGCACCTGACCCTTTAAAGCCAGCACGTGTCACAAGGGTGCAAAAAGGGCCCCCCGCCAGTTTTGACCATCCTGCAGCTGCTGCAACTTGACCACCCTCAGCTTCTGCATTGGAATAGACTTGGAAAATCACAGGTTCGAGCCGGGGAGAATGATAACTGCAAGGCTTGGGCTGGAAAGGAGAGGCTAGCCTGGACATGTAGAGCGCCTGCTGATTTTTGTCTTGAAGACCAGAGCCCCTTACCAAACCGCTGAACAGGGCGGTTTTGGGATTCCATCAACTATTCAGATCCTTGGTTGCTGTTGACCCTTCTGCGAAAAAAAAACAGTTGTGTTCACTCTTCGTGGGCTCAATGGGAAACCCAAACGGATTTCAAGATCCTTCGCCAAGGATCCAAGCCTCGCACCTGCCAAAACCGTCTTTGGGGGCACACTTTCAGCGTCCTCCGGTTCTTTAAGCTGCCTGGAACAACAAACATATGTCTAGTAGTCATAGGTTCCCTTTAAAACCAAGAGGAAAGAACCAACTATATTGTTAAACGGGCGGTCCGTTTTCAGATCTGCTAAATGTTGAAAGCCTTGAGCGGGTTCAAAGGAAACTACACCAACAAAAAGCAGAGCATCAACCATATTCTGAAGCAAATGGAAGGGATACATGGGGTTGATCAATATTCCTGGACCCCAAAAGGCCAAGGGTAGGTGTCTGAAGCAAATGGCAAAGCGGCGTCCTGAAAAGAGCTCCGTCTCGCTCCACAATGACTCTCGCAGTCTCCCTGGCACTTGCTTCGGCCACGAAAAACGAAAAACATCGCTCAGCCACCCGAATGGACATGGCTTAGTGTTGGCTTTCTGGAGGGTACCATGTTTTCTTTCGTGGTAAAGGGACAGGAAAGCCTCCATGGAGGGGTCGTCAAAAAGGGGACACCATGGCAAAGCGCCCCTTTTGAGGCTACTAAAACCCAGGGGTTGGTTTAAAGGAACACCAAAAGGAAAACCAGCAGTTTGAGGGGTGCCGAAAGAAGACACACCCACATGTCAAAATTGGTGAGTCTCCCACTCCAATAACTTTTTCTGATCCTTTCTGCAGTGTGATTGGCATAGCTGCCGAGTGAGCGGGTTTTGCGTAGAGCGACATGCCAAGCATGTTCATCTTTCCCACATTAGCTCTTGCCCCCAATGAAACAAACAAATGGGGCAGTGTGTTTTGTCATAGTACCCTTTTCAGTGAACAAAAGAACAACCACCATGATGGGGATCCCTTATTTTGACACAACCAAGTGCTTGAGACGCTCCAAAATGAGGAAAACACATAAGTTCGGCAGAGAACCCAATAACACTTCCTCGACAAACACAAGGAAATGAAGCAGTGATTTGGGATGAGGAAGGAGGAGTCCACCTTCTTTCCGACCGTCCTTCGTTGCAAAAACAAACAAAAAAAACACCTACCCCTGTGTGTCGCTGGTTTTCTCCAAATTCACCCACCCCAAACAAGGGTTCCCCAAGAAACACCTCTGGGGGTAGTCGGGTACCTGCCGGAAAGGCGGATCCCCACAAGTTGACACGGCCTCATGAGGAGCTTGGTCTCACTGGCCGGAAACTTCCCATGAATCTCGGCGGCTGCACATACAAACTCAGAGCACCTAAAACGAACACAGCTGGGTATGTGCCAAACAGGAACCCCAAAATGGTGGCTTGCATTTGAGTTTGTCTTCCAAAGAAAGGACACGAGCAACAAAAACAAGCAGACAATCAAACATATGTACAAACAGACAGACAGACAGACAGACAGACAGACAGACAGACAGACAGACAGACAGACAGACAGACAGACAGACAGACAGACAGACAGACAGACAGACAGACAGACAGACAAACGGACGGACGGACGGACGGACGGACGGACAGAGAGGCAGGGGGGCAGGAGGGGGAGGCAGGAAGGCAGGCAGGAGGGCAGGCAGGAAGGCAGGCGGCAAGGCAGGCAGGAGGGCAGGCAGGAAGGCAGGCGGCAAGGCAGGCAGGAAGGCAGGCAGACAGACCGACAGAGAGACAAACAAACAGACGAACAGGCAAACAAATGCAAAGAAATACACACACGCACAAACACACAAACACTGACGCACAAACAAACAATCACGTAAACAAGCAACAAACAAAGAAGGGAAGTAAACAAACAAACAACACACAACAACACAAGCAATCAAACATCACACAATTCACCAACAACATAGACAAACACATACAAATAAACGAACACACAAGCAAGGCACAACCAAACAACCAAACACACAAACAAACAAAACAAACAAGCCAAACAAGCCAAACAAGCCAAACAAACAAACAAACAAGCAAGGCACAACCAAACAACACAAACAAACAAAACAAACAAGCCAAACAAGCAAACAAACAAACAATCAAACAAACAAGCAAGCAAACAAACCAACCACACAAACACACAGCAAGCAGGCAGGCAGGCAGGCAGGCAGGCAGGCAGGCAGGCAGGCAGGCAGGCAGGCAGGCAGGCAGGCAGGCAGGCAGGCAGGCAGGCAGGCAGGCAGGCAAGCAGGCAAGCAGGCAAGCAGGCAAGCAGGCAAGCAGGCAAGCAGGCAAGCAGGCAAGCAGGCAAGCAGGCAGCAGGCAAGCAGGCAAGCAGGCAGCAGGCAGCAGGCAGCAGGCAAGCAAGCAAGCAAGCAAGCAAGCAAGCAAGCAAGCAAGCAAGCAAGCAAGCAAGCAAGCAAGCAAGCAAGCAAGCAAGCAAGCAAGCAAGCAAGCAAGCAAGCAAGCAAGCAAGCAAGCAAGCAAGCAAGCAAGCAAGCAAGCAAGCAAGCAACTACATAAACAAACAAACACACAAACAAACAAACAAGCCAGCAAGCAAGCAAGCAAGCAAGCAAGCAAGCAAACAAACACACAAACAAACAAACAAACAAACAAACCAAGCCAAGCCAAGCCAAGCCAAGACAAGCTAAGCCAAGACAAGCCAAGCCAAGTCAAGAAAAGCCAAGCCACACCAAACCAAACAAAACAAACAATGATCTGATTTGATTTCGTCCACCTGGTCTTCAGAAAACCCACGCTTGAAGTCAAGAGGGCTGCAAGTTTGAGCGGATGTTTCATCTTGGGTTCATTTTGGAGGGGGGGGGCGGTCCAGAAAAAATGACAAAGCAATGCCCATCCCCATTTGTCTCCTTGCTTTCGGTGTGGGACATGCCTTGGCGGCGGCCAAGGCCCAAGCCAGCACAAAGGTCTCGTAGAAAACCATGGCCGGCAAAGAGCTACGCCCACCAGCAATTGACGTTAGGGAGTCAGGGGTGTGGTCCTGTGATGAAATGCAAGGACATGGCGATTATTGGCATTTGAAGGATCGGATCACGCATTGTTTGCCATGCGTATGGAGCTGTTGTCTAGTTCATCTCTCACTCCGCGAGCGGAAACGCCGGGTCCCTTGAGAGCTTGGTACAGTTGGATACAGTTGGATGCTCGCGGCCTCGCGGCTCACTCACGTATTGAGGGTTGGCACATGGCACCTACAACCTGCGCGGCACTCCAGGGACTTTTTAGGCATCGCTCCGGATTTCTTTTTGCCGCACTGAACACATATCTCAGAAAGGTTTTGCTCCCTGCTCATCCCGAGTAACCATGAAATACACAAAGGAAGCAAAAGGAACACAGGGATAAACGGCTACAAAAAGAACACGCCTACTCGGGCAGTTTCAATGATTTTTGGCTCAGAATGTCCCTAAGGGCCTAGTCGTTCATCTTTGGCCAGGTAACGCTCTGGCATGCGCGAGTTGCGTGAGAGTCGCTCACATCTGTGACCTATGGCCTGGCAATGGCTCTTATCAAAAATCGGATGCGCAGGGCTGTCCCATGCACCAAGAGATGTGATCGTGACCGTGGATGTCCGTTTCCTTTCCACCAAGCAACATGGCATTTCTCCAGGATACTAATACTTGGAATGGCACAATCGGGGACATTCCTGCAAAGATGTGCATCCAGTTGAAGCACATGCATGGCGGGCAATGCCCAGCTCGAGTGGGCCGGCTATACAAAGCGACTTTATTGGCACACGACGAGGACCTGCACCAAGGTTCGATCTCCTTTTCATGTTTCTCTCGCGACACTGGCCTACTTTCGCTCGTTCAGATTTTACAAAGTCTGAATGTTCGCAAAAGGAAACCGTTTCTCCAAAGCGAACATTTTCAGGGGTTGGGTGCTTTGGAGCTGGATGTCATTATTGCCACCGCCAAATGGGAATTCAGACCCACCAAGTAAGGAGCCCTCCTCGTGAGCTCTTCTGAGGGGCGATCTCACTGATTGCCATTGGGTATCCTTGTGGCTTTCACAACTCTTGCTTCCTTCTCACCATCTAAAGCAAAATGGACGTGTCTGCTTTAAGGGTACCCTTTAAAAGGAAACCAAGACGCACGCAAATCTTGACCATGTCGCTAGCCGAGAACTGGCGACTTGGCACTTCCTCATCACTGGATGCTAAATTCCTGAATTCGCGGCTCCGGAGGGCACGGCTCAAGATCTGCGGCCGAAGCTAGAGACCCGTCCACATGGCGTCCCGTCAGTTTTTTGGGGTACCCTTTTCAGTGAATATCAGGTTGGCATTTAAGCATTTAAAAGACAAAAAGGTAGCATTCTGTTGGGACCCTTTCAACATGCCGTGAAGATTCAGAAGGAGACCACTTTTTGGAGACCACTCTGAGAGTACCCGAAGGTTTTTGATGCCAACCCCCCCAGTGCTTCAGGACAACCCCCCTCCCAAACCCGTCGAATCCTGATGACTATTTAACCACATGCGGGGCACTCCCTGCCTCCACTCCAAAAAGCCCAAAACACCCAAACCCATGTGGCACTGCAGACTTGCTCCGGTGTCCTGTTCAAACCTCCAAGCCCCGAGTCCAGTGACGTTTAGGGTCAACACCAAGCTCTCGCCCCCAGCTATTCTCCACTCTGCCAGGATAGAACCAACGAGACATGCTCAAACTCCACAGCGGTTCTCCCCACTTATGCAATTCCTCTGCAGGGCCAGCTTCAGCCACATCTCGAGCGATCAGCCCATCTCCGAAGGCTCGCTCTGCGAAAACGGGGCCATCTCTCAAACAGCGTAGAAGCTGTTCAAAGATCTCTGGCTCATGAGGGCCTCCAACGAGACCCTTGTCAGCTGCTTTAGGGGGAGACTGCTTTAGGGGCATTTGAAGTGTCCGGGTCCCCTATTTTCAGCCACACCCCGCACTTCTCTTGCCCTACATTCGAGACCTTGGTCCAGGTGCTCTGCCAAAAAACAGGTGATCTTGGTCCCTGCTCAATGCAAGGCCCCCCCCGTGTTTTTTGCATCTGTCCCATAGGTGGCCATTTGGAAAAATAGATGGCCCTGGTAGAGAAGCAAACTAACCCAAAAGGACACCTATGATCTGTCCACGTCATTGCCATCAGCTCTCAGGCCCGGGCCCAGTCTGCCGGCCTCTCCGAGTGCTCCGAGCCCTCCTCGCGCAGGCTGCGTGGGACATGGCGACTTCCAAGCGAAAGCCCTTGGGCCGCCCGACCTTTCCTTGGGTGCTGTAGATCCCCCAGCAACAAGTGGCTGGTTAAGAGGAAATATGAGGGGAATCCAACAAGTTGAAGTCTAAAACCCAATAGCAGTAGAGTTTCAGGCCGAAGCGTCCTTTCCATCAGGTTTGGTTCAGTGGTCTCTGAGGCGAGCTTGCGGATCTTGCAAGATCTGGGCCATGCGCTTGTCAAAAAGTAGGGGCCGCAGGGCGAACTCAACAAATGACAGCAAACTGGAGCAGCTTTTGCTCTGGGCCACATATCCCCTGCAACAGTTTGCTTTTTGTCTGGTCGACAGTAAATATGCAGGTGAACATGAAGGAGCACCAAGGTCACTCAGTGGATTTTCGTTGCTTGCAGCAACAAGGAACCAAGGGGAAAAATGGGTGTTTGGTTTTCTTAGGGACCCCTCCAAATACCCTCCCTCCCACTAACATGGCACCTGTGGGAGGGTACCTGGAAGATCAATTTCCTCTTGGGACCATTTCTGAGGTGCCATGTTAGTGGGAGAGAGGGTAATTTGTTCCTTTTAATGTCCCTTTAACACCACCAAAACAAGGGGTACACCACGACCCCATGTCCTCCTTGGGAGGCACCTCGGCCTCATCTTTGGACTGGGTTGGTCACAAGCAAATACAGCTCACGGCAACTCCTAAGGCTTGTGAGCCGTGGAGACTCTAAAGCTCATTTGTGGCAGGAAAGGGTCCACGAAGGACACTCTAGCTGTTGGATAGGCGAAGAATGTGTTTTTCCTCCAATGGTTACAAGTTGGTCTCCTGGTGACTTTCCTTTAAACCCCTGAGGGGCTTCTTCCCACCAAACATGACATGAATCCCGCCACCCCCCTAATTTCTCTTTTGGACTCCGCGTGTTCATGGGCATCAAAAGAAACACCCACATGAACCCAGCCTTTTGGAGGGGTGAACCTAGCTTTGACTCGCCACCTAACAATTCTTCGACTTTGCCGACTTCACTACACTTGCTCTTTGTCCATCCAGCAGCTGGATGCAACCTACTGTGGATGGACATATTCCTGCACCACTTTGAAACCATGAAAAACCATTGTTAATTGGTATTTACAGAGGAACCATCATTCCAGTTTTTTTTAGGTGCAGGACTTCGTCCATCCACAGTACGAATGACATGAACCACCTACCAATTGCTGTGAAGTGGATCTTGCATTCCAAGAGCCCAACAGTCGTCGGCGCCTGGCGGCAAGAAAAAACCCGTGGAAATCAAAGAAGGGGGGTCCCCGAAAAGAGATTCTTCGAATGAGGGTGGGTTCCATGCTCATCAGGGGAGCAGGCAACCAAGGGACTCCTCTGGGAGCCAACTATCAGGGGGGTTCATTCGGGTTTTCCTTTAACCAGCAACCAGCGGGTCCAAAATAGCCCGAACACTGGTTCCCTATCAACAAGCGTCGCTTTATATGTGAGGCTTCTGCTGGGGCAGGCTCACCATGTTTTCTCCGCCGCTGATGGACCTGCGCTTGGAACAGTTCATAGCAAACGCTCCTGACCATTAAGACACTTGTCAGTGCAATCTTGTATCTTGGATCCAGCCCAAATAAACTTTACACTTGTTGGAAAGCCGGTTTAAGTTTCTTCACATAGAGGCCCTTCTTGTTTGATCTAGGAGGTGCTCAGTTTAGCCCTGATGTTTGAGGTTTACAGAAAAAGGAGCCACAATGAACAGTGTTATGCATTACTGTGCAACGAGTTTCCGGTCCATGAGGAGGTACCATATGCATACATACATACACACACATACATAACTGATATATATGTAATAAACATATATATATATGTATATATTTATATCACATTGTTCATTCATGCATTCTAGGGGCTCCTGTACATGCCTCGGCAGACTTCGGAGATGGCCAAGCGATGGTGGGCAAAGGAGAGGACGGTCGCACGACCTCGACTTCTGCGAGGCTCCAGTCGTGGGCTTGTGTCAAAGTAGTCCAAACTCTGGATTTTTGCGCAGAGTAGATTTGTGCTGGACTTGGATTCCCAAATCTGGCGACCGATTAAAACAGTATGCTGGACCCCCCCCCAAACACTTGTTATTTGTTTTCTTTTTCCCCAACAGCTGAAAGCTTTGGGGTCTCAGCCCAGATAGGCTCCGGGGTGGTCCGGGGCGGCCCTGAGGTAAGGTTGCACGAGGGTTCCACGAGGGTTTTAGCAGGGTTCCACGAGGGTTCCACCATGTTTCCACCATGTTTCCACCATGGTTCCACCAGGGTTCCACGGGGTTCTGCGAAGTTTGCTGACTAATCGAGGTTTTGTCTTGGCGGTGATATATGTTTGGAGTCTTTATTAATATGCCAAGGCTTCCGTTTTTTGAGGGCTCCCCTTATTTTCAACTGTGTCAGACAAGTGTGCTCTTTTCCTCCATGGAGATCTGGAGGTCTGGGCGGAAGATGCCCGCTCGAACTCTTTTCAAGGACTCCACCCAGTGGGTTTTGGTAGGTGGGCTTCCTTATTTGTCAATCAGCAAACCGGCTCTCCCAACCTGTGCACCTTTGGTCTTGGGCAACAGAAAATCTAGGCACCTGCATCCCATGTTTGAGAAACATGTTTTCGGAAAATCAACGATTTCGACGAAATTATTTTGTCAAGACGAAGCATCTCGGCGGATCTAGGAACACCATGAACATGGGCAGCACTTGCTTGTGACGCAAGTGCAAAAACGGATGTTATCAATCCACACAATATATATATATGTATATGGATACTTGA